GAATAATACCTTGGGACATCATGTGGGTGTACAGTTTGGCATTGCTGCCTCAAGTTTAAATAAATAGGGTGTAAGTGGCCCAACAGCATAGGACTTTGTTGCCAAATTCCTTAACTCCTGCTACTTTCTGACACTCCTCTTCTTGTTCACAGAATGTGATTGATTTGGAACATGATTCCCATCTGACCATGTTAATAAACAGAGATCCACAATTTACATGATGCAGGACATCACAAGGTAAAGGAGTGATCATCATTTGGGGTTTTGCTTCTCCCTGCAAAAGTGGCTTAGAAATGGGTTTTGGAAGAAATCAGATGTAACCCAATATATTTCCATATGCAGGGGAAAAAAAACCAACCTAAAAATAAAAAAAAAAATAAAAAAATAGGTTTCTGAAGCCTCTAACGTGTGCTTCCTTCCAGTTCCTACAGTTTTATTTGCATGAATAACTAAGAAAGTAAATTTTGAGCTGAAATATTTGCCAAGAGCAAATTTCAAACCTCTTCAAACCAGCTTTACAGATGCATCCTCCAGAAAAGGAGCCTGGTTGGTGTAGGACCATGGGCCTTGCACCCCTTCCTCTTTGATGGGAAAACCACAGTGTTCCCTGGATTTGACAGTCATCTCCCACTCCCATAAAACACCTTAAGCAGCAACATTCAGAGACAGAGAGGAAGGACAAGGCAACCTGAAGCATGTAGCCTGCCACGGGCATCCCCTGCACTGTGCTAGCACAGCAAAGCAATTACCTCTGTAAGAGCAGAGGTGGTACATACTCCGGTGGGTCAGTGATAACTGCTCCCAGAAGAGGACTTGACAGCACCTCTGTAAGACAGGGCAAACATAAAGCCTGTCTAGCAGACTGCTCTACCCTGCTGAGTACAGCAAGCCCTGTGCAACGCTACCCGGAGGCACCACAGACTTAAAGCTCCGAGGTGACAACTCTCACAGGGAGAAAAGCATGTGCTGGCCAGGAGTGGTCCTTCCGCAAACACCCCGCGCTCCACAGGGCTCAGCCACCCTCAGTCTGCCTGCGTTTGGGTAGTGGGAGGGGATCCAGGCTCAGAGACCACATTTTAACTCAGTTCCAGCCACCTCAGGAGTCTGATGGGGAATCCACAGAGTGCTCATCTTGGAGGGAAATGGTCTACAGGGGCTTAGTGCTCATTCACTAAAAGCTGCTCTGCTGTGTAGCTCTCGGGCCTTTACAGACACATCACAGCAGAGGAAATGATGGCAAACCCATGGCATGAAAGCTTATCCCTTCACTGCTTTGATTGTTCTGGGATCAGTGATCCAGAGCCAGGCATCCTGAACCCTGGCCTTGGACAGGAGAGGACAGTGGGCATGTGCCAGCACTGCCCTGCTGACCACTCCAGCAATGACATGAGAACTGAGCTGGAAGAGTGTGCCTTCACCGTGGGTAACAGGAGCAGGAGAAAAGAGCTGTACCTGAGATGTCACAGTAGACTCTTTCTTGATAGACTTTGGCTTCTCGAGGTTTAAAGATCACTTTGATTTCAGCCGAAGAATTTGGCCAGACATCTCCCTCCTGAAACAGAAAGAGACCATTTATCTTCAAAAGTCTCATATTTTGTTTTCAAGCACAGTTCTGTAAGCCTTTATGTAGAGCATCAATGAAAAGCAAGGAGCAAGCAAACACCCATTGACAAAATTTGTGAGAGAGCTTGGAAGCTGCTGCAATAAAAACTTTCTAAGTAAGTCCCTCACCTTTACTGGCACCTGATAAAGGCATCGTGTTAAATTAGGGCTAGATGGAAGCAACCAAACTGGCTCACACTCTAGCAAATCAAGCAGGATTTCTCTAGAGCTACAAGCTCGTCTAACGAAAAGGTACCTCTCTTCTCCAAACTCTCCCTTGTACCTCTGTATCACTATGGCTTTGTGAACATTTTTACTCAGACCAGAAGAGATTTAGCAAATCAAATGGATTTTTCCATGACTGGTTATGAAGGTGCTTCCTCTTGTGCTCTTCACCTTTCCATGCATATAAGTATTTACTGTACTGTGGTGAATCAGGATGCTCAGCACCTTGCAGAACAAGCCCTCCTGGCTGGTGACCAATGGAGAATAGACTCCTTGCCACTGAGAGCTGCTTCTGCCCTGCAGTGGGAGTGGTCACGCAGCACATAGGCTCTTCCAGCTAATGGAGGATCCAAGGAAGGAGCAGAGGGCCTGTTTCTCTCTGCAAGGTGCACACAGTCATGTTTCCCTGAGCACAGGCTCTAACAAGAAGAGATGGGATTTGCTTACAGCTCCACACCTCTTTCAACCAGCAAGCTCTTTTCCTTCTCATGCTCTAATGGATCTAAGTCTGGGCCATGCTACCAGTGTCTGGAACTGTCTACTGCTTCCTCAGGGTCTTCTCCCAAAGAGTCCTGGCACCGGCACTCAGTCCCAGGGAGCCTTGTTGCACATTTCTGTAGGAACCCCTTGTTTCTAAAGGCTCTCACTGCTTGCAACTGGTTTAAACAAACCTACCACTTATATCCCTTCAGCCCCTAGCATTGCAAATGTCTGTTGACACAAATACAGGCACTTCTGACAACTGTAAGAATACTCTAGAAGAAGATGAAAAGAGCAGAGTTATTTTTCTATCAGCAAAGTGTGGCTTTGATTCTGCTTGCTGTTGAGTAGCCTCAGTACTTAGTCCAAAAGCCTTGAAATGACTGGAGCCTCCAGCACTCCTGCAGCATAACTATTAAATAAATACAGTACTTCCCATCAACTGAGCACTTACAATTCAAAGGACAGGCCCCACAAAAATGAAAGAGCTATAACATGGTGAGTTCTTGGGCTGCAGCTGCAAATAATACCCTAATGCACAGCCTGCTGGGAGTCAACAGAACAGAGGAATAACAGAGAAAGTAATTTCAAACACCAATAAATCTGTAATAAGGAAAGTCTGAAAGGATAAAGTCACTTGGATTCTTCTCAAAACCAAGGGCAAACACCTTTGCCAGACCAAACACATTTCATATTTCTATCCAGCAGGCAACTGGATAAGATGAAGCCTTAGTACATGACAACACACTTGCTTGAGGAAGCAACTTGGGGACCCCAGCCTGCAACCCACAGTCATATGGGTCAACAGAGGTGTGCAAGTGCAATTGTGCTGACCCTGGTGACTCTCAGCCTTACTCTTCCTTCGAAAAAAAAAAATAAATGAGTTTTACCTATTTTAAAAGAAATAAGAGGTTGGGATTATTGTAGGGTTTACTCCAATATGAGAAGGGATGTTGCACTGCTCATACAGCAGGCATCCTTCTTATCAGATCATGCAAATACACAGAATGAGAGCCCTGTTTGATTGAAGGACATAGGGTTTTGCTTGCATCAAGAGAAAAGTAAAATGTTTCCTGTACCTATATGCAATAGAACTCAAAAAGCCAATTTAAACCTGCCAGCTTTGTGTTCAGGCTCACAGGTGACACTGGAAGAGAGATTCCAGTACCTAAAAGGGGCCTACAAGCAAGCTAGGTAGGGACTTTTTATGAGGACATGTAGTGACAGGACAAGGGGGAAATGGCTTTAAACTGACAGAAGAGATATTTAGATTAGATATTAGGAAAAAAATTCTTTACTGTGAGGGTGGTGAGACACTGGCACAGGGTGCCCAGAGAAGCTGTGGCTGCCCCATCCCTGGCAGTGTTCAAGGCCAGGTTGGACAGGGCTTGGAACAACCTGCTTTAGTGGAAGGTGTCCCTGCCTGTGGCAGGGGGTGGGAACTAGATAAGATTTAAGGTCCCTTCCAACCCAAAACGTTCTAGGATTCTGTGATTCAGACATGGTATAAATCTAGGTTATATGAAGGGATTGGTATTTCCATGATGAAACTTGGGCTGAATTTGGCCTCCTTTCCTCAGAGGCCATTTCATTCTTCAAGCCACTATGTGAACTGACAGTGCTCTAATATCCCTGGGTAATCCCCACACGCTATGTGTAAGGTGTGCCCTGACATATAATAATTGATACCTCTGCACACTGCAAGGACACCTAGTAAGTGCTCTTAATTTATAGCCCTTGCAGCAGAGCTCAGCTTTGGGCAGGCTCTTGCTGCCTATGTTCTCAGCTATTGCTTACCACTGGCTCAATGGTGAAAACATCATTGGAGAAAAGCCTGGAGTCTTCCTGCACCTTTCTCACCTGGTTCTCAAAGGTGCGCATAAGAAGGGAAAGACGCCCTTGGAGAGTGGGGTCCACCCCACCTTCCTTGTGAGCACAATCTGTCTTGTCCTCTTCCTGTCTCTGCAGCCTGCAGCCACAGGGACAGACAAACCAAGCAGGCAATTGAGTAAGCAACATAACTTGCAGAGACTGTTGTGTACGTGCAGGAGCAGCAAAGTACTCAGGGAAGAACAGCAGCAGCTCAGCAAGGGGCTGACCCCAAGCTGCAGGCCCCTAAATGGATCTGATTATTACTGGTCATTCGCTAGCACAGCCGGTAGTTTTATGCCACACTTACAAGCTAAGAAGAGGTTTCTGAAAGCCAGTAGCCCTCAAGAGAGCCTCCTGGCTCAAAGCCAGTGCCCCAACCAATGGAGATTCCACCAACAACCTCAACTGGCTTTTTCTACCACAGGGCTACTGGGGGGGTCAGATAAAGACTGAGGAGAACACACTGCAATGCTTCAGTGGGAAGGGGAGAAGCAGCTGGGTTTCAACTGCAGGGTACAAGCATCACACTTTTTTTTCTACCTTTTTGGACCTACAAGGATAAGGAAATTGAATCTGCTCTGTCGCCTGTACTGCTTTCCACCAGAGGCTCTTGGAGCACTTCAAATGCAACCTAATGAACTCAGGCTTAGTGCAGTCCCAGGTAATGAGTGTTGACACCTTCCTCAGCCTCAGGGACCCTCCATAGCCCAAGGATCTCTGAACCTCAGTAGTTTGCAGCTCCCAGACCTGAATTTGCTCTCTGAGGAAATCCAGTGGTTGCAATCAACCTTTCCTCCCCAAAACATCATCCTCAGATAGAGTATGGGTGGAACTGGATGGAAGTGTTAACCTCAATTACCCTGAAGCCCAGAGACACATGCCCTGATGCTGTGGGTGGGTTTACTTGTCCTAAACCATTCAAAAGCACCAACACCCCTCTGAAGCCATGTTAGTTTTACCCTTGGGCAGTGTATCTCACTGAAATTAATCTTTCAAACAAACCTCAGCTTCTGCTGATCCTCCTCTTCTTGGTTAACAAAAGGCTTCCACTGGAAGTGGGCTATGATTTCACTCTGATTGTGGATGACCATGGATCTGTGGTTTGACAGTGTGAGGTAAGTCTTCTCAATGGTCAAGGAGTTCCTGTCTAGCCTTATGTCGACATCTACAGCTGCTCCATAAAGGCTTGTGTGAATATCCTCACCTGGAACAAAGCAAATGAAAGTCTCTGCTCATCTCGTTTGCTGATGGAAGTATAAGGAACAGAGCAAACCACAGGCAACAGAAGAAAGAGTTACAGCTTTTAGATGCAGCAGTTCCACAGATGAGGACATTTATCACATCCTGATAGCTGCATGTGGTACAGCATGAGGATGTCCTGACATCACCTTAAGCACCTTATTTCTGGGCGTGTTTGTAGAGATCTATCACCAAGGTGTCAACATTTACCGTGAGATTTATTCTGACTGCCTGGCAAAGACATGCCCAATATACTACTTAATAAATCAATCAGCCTTCAAGCTGCTCTTCTGCTTCTCAGCAGATGCTGATTGATCCACAAGGAAAGGGGGCTAAAGAAAGGTCAGTTCTGCCCTGAAACACATCCAGAGTTATTGAGACTTAAGAACATGTTGGTGATTTCCACTGATGCTAGAGTAGGCAAGCTGTGGTCCAGGGTGACCTGCAAAGAGATGAAACCCACATTCTTCCAGAAATCTGTTATGTGCTAAAAATGGGTAACGTGGCATCACAAGGAAATCTGTTTCTGTGCATACCTGAACCAAACAGTCAAAAGGAGGTTCCTAACATCCAAATGACCCTCCTATGACACCCCCCCTCCAGCTGTGCACATGCAGCCAACTCTGTGGGTTGCTTTAGTGGGGCTTTTGTCAGGAGGAGTGTTACACTGCTGTGGAGCTATAAAGCTCTTGAAAAAAAACCTCAAGCACGTGAAGCACAAACTTAATTCCCTCTCATGTACCCTCAGTGACAGACCATTTGTCTTGAAATACAAGGCCCTGGAGAGGCGCAAAGGCCATACTCTGTTTGCAAGGAGTTGGAACAACCTTATCTAAAACAGTATTCAAAAAAACCCCCAACATTATTACAACAGTTCTAGAAAAGGGGAACAAAGGCAGGAAACAGTTGCTACCTACTGGCTGTGTTGACATAAACAAACACTTTGGAGAACAACTACACTCACCCATCAATCTAATTGATTTGAACTATAACAGACCATCGCCAATCAGGTGTATAAAGTATTAGCTCCCAGTCCTTGGCCTGTTGCAGTGTTGCTATTGTTAAGGTGCCAAGTCAACATATAATTGCACAAACTCCTATTTATACCTTTTTTTTTGCCTACAGGATATGCCTCCTTCCACTCACCTTGAAGCAGACATATAAGAACATAAAAGTCTGACAGAACCCAGCCATGCTGCTGGGAATTCCCACAAGAAAAGAAAGAAAAGCACAACATGCACTCACCACCTGCAATAAGCAGACAGAAAATCCTTTGTCAAGTTTTTAAAGGCCCAACAGAAACCATTTAGAGATGGAGGCTCTCTGGGAGTCTGGTGGGACACTGTCTCAGGTCAGGGTGTGCTTCTCCACGCTCCAGCCTAGTGCTCATCAACATGAGGGTGATCACATTTGGCCCTACAGGTAGCAAGCAGCAACGGGAAGGAAAGGCTGCTGGGGACACCATACTTTCAGGACCAGCAAAGCTGAGAGGCAGATGAGCGAGGCAGATGAGCAAGGCAGAGCCTTCTCCTCACGCAGGGCAGGACAAGCTCAGCTCAACATAACCTCCAGCTCCTGTTGTGCTGCACTGGAGAAACATGCTTAGCTGCTCTCTTCTGCTGTATAGGAATAACCTGTTGTCAGAGAGCAAGTATTGCTCCCCAGGGCTCAGGAGGGGAGACATTACTTCATCCAGTTTCTACAAGTACAGTAACTAACCCAGTGCAGCAAAACTCAAACTCATTGGCAACTATGGAGCCAGAGGCAGACGCCACCCACATCTTCTACCTGCCCTTGAAGTAATAATCAAGGATCTGAGGCCGAGCTTTCCCTTCCTTGCCCTGGGTGTGCAAAGCCACATAGGATGCTCTGAGCCTGGCCTGTGATACACAGCAAAACAAGCTGAGATTTGCTTTAGGACAGCTCCTGCTCCAGAACTGTGAGCTCTCCTGTGAGTTGTGTAGGAAGTTGAGGGAAAACAACCAAGTGCCAAATTCGCAGCTGGTTCATTAGCAGGCTTTTAGCACAAGGCTGGAGACTTCCAGCAGGACTAAAACCATCAAGAACTACTCCTGAGCCTCATGTTACCTCTCTTGTGGAAAAGCTGTTTTGTGGGGCTCCACACCAAGGGGAGACAGGCCAGTAATGGAGTGGACACTCCTGCCTGAGGGCTGGTTCCTCTTGGATATGCTGTCTCCTAAGATTCTCCTATGTGTACTGCCTCTGATCTCTTCTCTCAAACAGGGCGAGATCTGCCCCAAGGCTTTTGATTCTGTATTAGCCTCACAGCGCCACCAAAGGAAAATGCTCTCCATAATTACTCTTATTACTGACAGCAATAAAAGCATCTCACTATATAGTGTCTGTCAGCCCTGCACAAGCTCAGGGGTGCTTTATTAATTACCAAAGTTTCCTGTGCTGACAAAGAGATCCCATGGGATGTGGCAACCAATGGGGAAAAACTGTACAGAGTAATTTCAGCACTGAACAACAGATCTCCTGGACTAGAAGCACATTGTAGCACCTTGCCATGAGGTCCAGTGGGCACTGCAGGCACCCACATACAAGCACAGAATCGGGTCCTACACCTTGAAAACCAGCCATCATACCATACTGGGTACTTCTTGGAGACTGAATCAGGATTCAGGGAGCTCTGAGCACAGAAGTGATTCTCTTTCCACAATTCCCAGCATCTCTTCAGCAAGTCTTGTCTCTGGTGGCCTCCTTCACTTGCATGGAGCATCTGCCATAGAATTTACTGTTTCTGGGTGCTATGGGACTGGTGAATTTGTTTTTCACCTCTGCCACAGCTCTGGGAACCTGTTACATATCTCCGTAGCCACATGTCCCTGAGCAAAGCTCACTCTGCCACACCAAGCTTGTGCTATATTATCAGGCTGTAATAAAAGTTGTGACTGCAGCAAACTGGGTTTGATGTATGAACAGCAGCACACACAGCACCTAGCTTGGGCATCTCACTTGAACACTGCTTGAGAGCTAAAAGAATAAATAAGCTTTATGAATCCTGACTTGGTTGAGACTAGACTTAAATCCATAAACTTGTTTTCCCACAGCTGCACAGGGTGGCTAAAAGTCACTGGGGAAGGGCCAAGGACTTTCAGTGGCACTGAGTGATAAACCCTTTCCAAACCTGCATGTGTACTTGGCAGGCAGGCTTCAGAAACCCTTCCTGAAGCCATAACCTGCTGTTAAGGAGATGAATAGGGATGTGCTGTAGTCCAGAACATCCCAAGTCACCTTCATTTCAGTGTGCACTGGGATTTTTCACACCCAGCCACATGTACGTGGGGAAATGGAGGAGTCTGGCCATGTAAAGCACTGAGGTTCAAATTTTCATTGTAAATCATTATGCTTTTAGCAGCAGTAATGTAAAAAATTCAGTAGTTCTTTCAAGGAAGTGATACCGACATCAATGAGCCTCTCTCTGTGTGAGCATAAACCATTCTCTGTGAATAGGTCATTAACTGAAAAGTATCAAACAGATCTGTGAAAACTCAGAAGGCTGCAAAGAGCATTTGAAAGATACAGGAATGTTTTTAGAACTTCTACAAACTCAAGACAATTCAAATGCTCTCCTTGGGGCTAAAGTGTCACAGTGTCACCTAGGTTAGGCCATCCTGCTTCCCACAGCTGGAGTTCAGGAACAGGGACAACACAAACCTCTCTTTCAGGCAAGAGAAAATGCACACCAAGTGCATTCACACAGCTGAGCAAATGCTGGGTTCAGCATCATAAGATACCTCTGCTGAAGCAAGGCTTCAGAAGCATTTTAACGTCGCACCTTTTTCTTGTGTTTCTCCCACTTACTCTTGAAGCGAAATTTAACACTGGAAGTATTTCTGTGGCCTGATCCTGGAATGAGATTCCCTAGTATAAACATTATACCTATGTTTGGAGGCAGTGAGCACTTCCTGCCAAATCTCAAGTGCCCTCTAGACCCAGCTGCTTTAGCCCTGATGTTGTGAAGTGTGGGATGTAGACTGGTAGAGGGAAACAGAAAAAGGCTCTGTGGCAAGACAGCGGAGAAGCACTACATGGGACAGAGGTGTGTAAGAGACAGTGAGCATTGGAAAGAGCCTGACAGACATGTGCGTTCCCCACACCACACACAGCTCCGTCTAGGAGTAAGACTTCACACATGCATATGTGCACTAGTGGAGAACCAAGGTTCCGCCTTCCTCCACTCAGCAACTCTGAGCAAAACAGGATTCCAAAAACCTCATTCCTGTCTGAGGGGATCCACTTTAACAACCCCCTCAACACCAACTATTCTTCACTTTTCTCTGAGGTAAAGGGGGCAGGGGAGGTGCACCTGGAGAGGGAATTAAGGTGGCTGGGACAACGGGAATGATGGTAGATGACTGTCACAGAGGGGGTGCTGTGTGGAGAACACTGTGCTGACACCAGGGTCTCCCTGGGGATGGGCTGGCACACAGCAACACAGGGCACAGAGAACAAGGCCAGACTCAGCCTTTGTCCCTTATCTGCTCACTTGTAAGCACTGAAGCATGCAGACGTTTTGAAAGAAGATGTTTTAGAAGTGGCCTGCAAAATCTTGCAAAAGAAGTTTAACATTATTCTACTTAGGAAGGGCTCTGTTTGGAAGGACACAGGGAGGGTGCACCATGCAGCGCCTAGCTCTTACCTGTGTCATAGTGAACTATCAGGAATTGGGAATAATCGCCAGTCTTCAGCGGGTGAAACTCCACTGTTACTTGCATGACTTCATCAATCCCAAGAGTCCCAATGGAGGGATCCACGGAGAAAGGGCTGCAACACAAAGAGAAACATCAGGACTATCGTGGGAAATTTGAGGACTATATTCCTTTTGCAATCTAGTTCACTTCAGCTCACTTGTGCAAGCAAGGAGCAAGCAAACCACAGTCAGTAGAAGCAACACAGAGCATACAGGATCCTCTGAAGAGATCCAGCCCTCAGAAGATCCCATGGTATAACATGACCTCATCTCCCTCATACTCTGCATCCACTTCTCTGCAGTGAGGCTCCAGAGTCTGACTCCCAGCTGTACTATCAGAGAACAGGTTTTGAAGAAGACAGAGGGGAGAAAGAACTATTTGGATGCACAACTTGACGCTGACTTCACATCAGGTATTTGACGAGGGGACCACTAAAATGCCACGTGCTTGTGGCCTCCCAGAGAATAGGTGTACTTGGCTGATAGTGGTATGTAACCATTTCAGAAGGTTATTTATGATCAGGAGGTTGCAAGCTGGCTACTAACATATTCTAGCCCTCTCCAGGAAATCTTGGAGAGAGAAAGCTCTAGAAGAAAAGGCCCCCAAACCATGCACCAGATATTTGCTGCATCTTTCACCTGTACCCTCAATAGCATTCTGGTTTGGGGCTGTAATGCTGCTTTGAAGCCAGTGCCTGCTCCTCTCCGCTTAAGAGCTCCTTCTACTTAAGAATATTTGGTCCCAGGAACCAGACCAAACCCACTGGAAACAAAGTTCCTGGACTACACATTGTTACTGCCTGGCCTCAAAACCCATTGCTTTGATCTACGACCTCTGGTTGCACTTGCTGATATAGACACAGCTGTTAATAAATTCTTCAATGTCTCTATGACCAGCTCATAGTGTGCCCATTTCTCAACACTGTGTTTGGGCTACATAAACTGTGCTCCTAGAGTTGTTGTCTGCCATCAGCAATCAAGTTGCCTTCCTATGTTGGCTCTTTCGATCTAACAGAATCAGTTGTGCCAGATGCTGCTCTGGAGACACCATTGCAGTATAAAACTTCACTGCATCTTGCAGACTTTTCTCAAAGGTTGCATCATGCTTAAAACACTAAACAGCAAAACCCAGGTGTCCTGCCCATCTCCAGCTATGGCTGCAATACTGCAGCTCAGATGCACCAATTCCCTTCTGTTGCTGTTTACCAAGTATATTATCACACACTAGTGTTTGGCACAAAAAAGATGAGCTCCTTTACCTCTGAGTGCTGATGCTGTAGCAAGCCTTCCGATTACCGATGTTGCGCACCAGCAGAGTTTTCTGGGTGCTGAACTTAACTGGACACTCTGAGAAGTTCACCTGGTCAGGGAAGTCCAGGATGGCTCGGGCACCTATTGCTCGAATAGGCACAATAAACTTTTCCCTTTCTGTGATGCAGATGAGCTGGTGGAAATAATCCTGCAGGGAAAGAAACAATCTTAGACAGTGGATTTAGTACCACCCCCATGGCAGGAGAAAAACTGGTGTTTTCTGCGACCTTAACAGTAGCATTCAAGAATGTATGAGCACTTTTTGCCTTAATGACCTTTCATTCCAGTAGCATGACTTGGACAGGGCTGTTAACTTGTACAGAAGAGACAACCCCGTTGATTCATCTGCTTTCACAGCAAGCTGGCAGCATCAGACAAAATTAGCTCATACTTTGATTCTGATTCTTTACCAAAGTAATTCCATGCAAGGGATCAAAGCAGTAACAGGGTCTGCTTTGATCACCACTGCAGGTTATTAAAGGCACTGCTAAGAACTCAGTTGTGACACAGCACTAAATCCAATCCCAGCAATGCAGCGACCTTGTGAAAGCTTGGCAGGGGATTCTCGGGTCCATTTTGCAAAAGGCCTTTGCCACATGCATGATCAACAGTTTGTCTTTGGTGAAATACTTCACAAGCTGGACACGAGCATTTTTCACGTCAGGTGAACATAGGGTATGTGTGTATTTCCCTCCATTTCCCATGCCATTATAGTGACAAGGCTGGGGCCACGCATGCTTAAAAAAGCTATCTGATCCACCTCCCCATCCCAGAACTGGCTCTGCCCTATACCCAAACTATCCTTGTGAGATGTTTGAGGAGTACACTAACAATTCCACCCCTGCCCTCTGCAGCCTATTCCATCTTTACCCTAGACTTAAGAGAGTTCCTCCTGAGCCTAATCTCAATTTCCCTTTACCTCTCACCCTAGCCTCAGGGGATGCAGGAAATAGCTTTGCTTCCTCTCTGCTGCATGGTTGATGCCTTAGTCCTGTCTCGCTGGTAAGATCTCTAGACTTGGTGCCTTGTTCTCATGCTTACGTGAGGCAGGTGGCACCAGGAGCTGCAGATGGCACACAGACAGACATCCCTACCAGAGCAAACTCAACCGTACTACTCCCAGTCATTGGCTTGGTCAGAAAAGAGCCAGACATTCCCCCC